ATACACAAAAATAATGACTCATAACTCGAAGACTGTAGCAAGGAGAGTCAAAATGTTGGTATCGTTTGATAGAAAACTTTCTGTACTTTCAGTGGGGAAAAAATGTATTTCATTTGGACATTCTCCTGCTGAGAAATAGCTGATAAAAATGTAAGAAAAATTTGAGTGCTCAAGAGACATTTTTCATATCGGTCTTATTTGACATTCAATATCTCCGGACAGAAATAAGGTAGGAGGAAAATTCTATTTTGGTGATGGTCCCCAGCATGTTAGCTGTATCTGTTTCAAATTTTTTGGTGATAGCATAAAGTATCCAAAAGTTACAGTATTTTGTAACAAAACAGGCCTTTTTGTTTAGCTCTTGACTCCCTGAAGGAATTTTTAAAACTGTTGTTTTCTGAGAACCATAAACAAAAATAATGACTCATAACTCCAAGACCGTAGCAAGGAGAGTCAAAATGTAGGTATGGTTTGATAGAAATCTTTCTATATTTTTTCTCATGTTGAGAAATAGGTGATAAAATGTAATAAAAAATTTGTGTGGTCAAGGGAAATTTTTCATATCATTCTTATTTCAAAGAAATAAGGTAGGATAAATTTTTTTGGGTAATGTTCCCCAACATGTGTGCTGTATGTGAATTACATTTTGTTATCATGAAATAATCCGAAGTTACAGTATTTTGAACCAAGGTAGCCCTTCTCTTAGCCCTTGACAGTTTTGAAATTGTTGTTTTGAATTTGAAATAATGCCTGACTCAAGTTTAGTCGAAGCCCCAAACAATTATACTTCTTTTATTCTACTCATGAGACCTTTCAAATGACATATGACACATGACAATCCGAGCCGTATGATGTTTTTGACATTTTAGAGTACATGGCACAAAAAACATTTTGTAAATTATGATTTTTTATTTTTTTTGTAATTTATCAGCAAATAACTCGGCACTACTTTGGAGTTAATCAAAGTGGCTACATGCATTGTAAAGCTCAGATTCTAAGCTTTCAACTGATATCCGTTTTTGAAGGCAGTGGTTTGAAAAATATGATTAGTAATATTTTCGTGGAGGGGGGCGTCCCGCCCGTGATACACTTCGGTTTAGAGGGACTGCTCAGCGCTCGTTAGGAGTTGATCAATGATACCCGTTTTGTGTTATTCCATTCAGGGGTTGCTTAGCAATTTGATTATGAATTTTTTCGCGCGGGAGCTCGGGTTTAAAGGGTTAATTTCTTTCAAAAAAAAAAATTTTTTTATATATATATATGCACCAGGCTAATGAGACGACAAGTGGCACATGAGTGCTTCATTAAAAAATAATGACATGGTGCAAAAGATTATTTTCTTTTGATTTTTAGGTGGAAAAAAATTACTTGTAAAGACTACTTTAAGAAACTGCCAATTTACATGAACAGCACTGACTGAAAAACTGGCAGGATTACAACAATGTACCTGTTTGTTCTTCTATTATTGAACATCCTGTTAGACTGCAGCTGCTCGTATAATTGCTTTATTTCAGCAAGTCCTGGTAGGAAGACCAAAACAGCACCTGTGCATTCACCAAAAGGAAAAAGTCATTCACTGAGTTTTTTTAACCCTTCTAAGAAGGCTGTAATTATTTGAACAGTGCAGGGGTTTATGGAGCTCTTTACCTGGTGGGTAGCTGTGCTCTCCATCAACAATCCACTCCAACAGACTCTCCACCAGGTCCATGTTGATTTTATCAAGATCCATAGCAGCCAATGTTTTCACTACAGACTTTGAGTAATCTTAACAAGAGATGCACAAAGATGTACACAGTTCAGGGTGTTTTGTCATATTACACAAAGATTATTCAATAAGCAGGATGCACTTTGTAAAATCACTAAAGACAGAAATGAGCATAGACAGGCTTGCAAAAAAACAGAAAAGGAATAATAAGCAGGCCCACAAAAAACTAAAAAAATTTGGTAATAAATCAATAAAACATGCTAAAATTATAGAGTTCAAGTGTTTTTACTGGAATATCGGACGGTAAGATCCTGTTGACTGAGCTGCTGATCAGGGATGGAGTCTTTGACCGAATCCTTTTTCATTAAGGACGTAAATGACCAGCTACCATCATCATCAAAATCCTCAACAGGAGCCCGTCCCTTCCCAGCCGTGCCACCCTGACCAGAGGGACGATTTTGCTTTGTGGAGCACCGATATGGACTTCCATCTTCAATTACATACCTTCACAGCAAAAGAACAAACCATGCTGTGTTGTAAAGATTGTTTATAATTTATTTTTGTATGATGAATATCTAACAATCATAGATGAAGCTATATGTATTTTATGTGAATACTTGGTCTTAGCGATGGCGTCTTCAAGGAAGAACTGCTCCACCGGGAATGTACGTCCTTCAGATAGGAAAGTCCATTGAAAGAGAAATGTGTGATGGATTAAATTCTAAATTTACATCTTTAAAGGTGCGCTGTTATATGGTATATCATACCTGGTATATGGATGCTGGGGCAGTTGTTGAAGTACTGTGAGAAGAGCTCGGCATTCAGGGTTGCACTCATCATAATTATTTTCAAATCCATCCTTTTTACAATCAGATCCTTCAGAACCAGCAACAGGAAGTCACTGTGAGACAGGAATCATGTGACTGTCAAGACTCATGTGTGTGACTGTATTGTAATGTGCACCTGTGCTTTCCACAGACCTCTCTTCTGTCCGTTCATGGACCTCATCCACAATCACATGTGTGATGCCACTGAGCTCAGAGTCGCCCTCTAGCCTCCGCAAAAGGACGCCGGTGGTGCAGAACATCAGCCTGGTGCTGGAGGACTGGATTCAAGAAATTATATACAGACATTAATACTTTTTTATTTTTTTAGCAAGGATGCATTAAATTGGTTAAAAATGAGTAAGGGCGTTTATGTTGTGACAAGATTCATATTTTAAATATATCTTCTGAACTTTCCATTCATCAAAGAATCCTAAAAAAGTTTCACTGTTTCCAAAAATAAAAAATAAAAATAAGCAGAACAACGGCGTCATGTGACACTGAAGACAAGAGTAATTATGCAGAAAATTCAGCTTTGCATCACAGGAATAAATTAGATTTTAAAATATCAGATGAATAAATGACATTTTAAAATATATTGAAATTTGACAGTTATTGTTGTTGTTACAGTTGTTGTATATTATATATTAATATTTCACAATATTACTGTTTTTCTGTATTTTTACTGTTACTGTATCAAATTACTGTATCAAATAAATGCAGCCTTGGTGAGAATTAGAGACTTCTTTCAAATAAATTAAAGAGAGAGAGAGATTTTGACAATATTCAATTTACTATATCTTGTATATTGAGTATCTTGAAACTATATCTTGAAATGGCTCTAAAAAAAGTTTATTCAATATATAGAACACAATGATTGGACTAAACAAGTTACTGATGCCAATTGAATTAATAACATTTAATGTGAAAATAAAAACATAGTTACTTTAGTCAAATAATTTTCTATTGATTACGGTAATTGATAACCAAATTATGACAAACATTTTGTTACCCTGACGGTCTCCAGACGGATCTGATAGCCTGTGGAGTGACCCAAGGCCTCTGCTCGTTCCTGGGCCACTCGGGTCGCCACAGTGATGGCAGAGATGCGCCGTGGCTGAGTGCAAATAACGTTGGCCACTCTATCCGGCCGTCCAGTCTGGAGGAAATGATCCAGGATAAACTGAGGAATCTGAGTGGTTTTCCCGCACCTGAGGTTACATTAATTCCGACATGAAGAGATGTCAACATCATTAAATTTAACCAAATAAAAAACTGGTCAATAGAATAGAAATGCAGCAGGTCACAGTCTTACCCAGTCATCCCGCTGATGACGAGAACCTGGTTCTTATCCAAACAGTCCAATATGGCCTCTCTCTTCTGCCATGCAGGCAGCTTCTGCCTCTGCTCCTGCATCGATGTATAGCGCCTCGACGACTGACAGAGAGAACGCACAAATCAAACTATGAAAAATCTATTTCTATGTTCTATCACTTTCTTCTGTGTAACACAAAAGGCGAACATTTGAACAATACCCCGACTGTTCTCTTCCATATAACAAAAGTGAATGGAAACAGGGTGCTGACAAGCTCCAAACTCATTCAAACGTGCTCTATAATGAGGTTTGGTCACAAGACATGGGGGAACTAATAAATAAATAAATACATATTCAAATAAAGTTTGAAATGATATAAGGATACATATCATAATCACACACACATCCAAGCCAATAGGGGCAAGACAGGCCTACAACAGGTGTGTTACCTGTTTCCTCTTGAACTCTCTGCAGAGCTTCTTGTTCTCTTGCAGTATTTGCTCAGTTTTGATCTCGATCTTCACCATCCTCTTCCTCAAGTTAACATAGCTCTCATTTTCCACTGGGATACATTGTTCTTCATCTTCATCATCATCACCATCTTCTTGTTCATCAACAATATCCTCTCTTAGGTATGAAGCATCTGATTAAACACAAATACATTGACAAAAGTTTAATTTTTGGGTGAAATATTCATTCAAATATTGTTTGAATAATAATGATGAAGTCTTAAAGGGATAGTTCACCCAAAAATGAAAATTTGATGTTTATCTGCTTACCCCCAGGGCATCCAAGATGTAGGTGACTTTGTTTCTTCAGTAGAACACAAACGAAGATTTTTAACTCAAACCGTTGCAGTCTGTCAGTCTTATAATGGAAGTGAATGGGAATCACGGCTTTGAGAGTCAAAAAAACATACACAAACAAAACCAAATTAAACCCTGCGGCTCGTGACGATACATTGATGTGTAAAGACACGAAACGATCGGTCTGTGCAAGAAACTGAACAGTATTTATATAGTTTTTTACCTCTGATGCACTACAATGTTACCTCTGATTCACCGCAATGTCTGAACTGTCCTGAGAGCGTTCTCAACAGCTGGTGTGTGACGCCTCTCCTTTTGCTTGCTTTACGGCAGATCGCAGACTTATAAGTGCATTACCGCCACCTATCTCTCAAATGGACCATTGACACTCCTAATTGAGATTGTAGACAGAGTGTCAATGGTCCATTTGAGAGATAGGAAGATCGGGATAATAATCTGGATACTATTTTCAGCGATTAACAACTTAAATTCTGCTCTGCACCTCGACCTCACACAAAACGTCTCAGGTTACGTATGTAACCATGGTTCCCTGATTAGGGAACAAGACACTGTCTCGTTCCCTACTCAG